GAATGGGAGTGAATGTACAAGGCACAACAAACTTTTTGTATGTCCACAGGATCAAACATGGGATTATAGCAACAGTGATTGAAAGCGAGACCCAGGAGGGCACTTATTAGAAGACTGAGTGTCTGGTTCTATCAATGTCGCTAGGTTGGACTATGTGCATACATGTGGGTGATGTGCAACTGCTGTTGAGATCCCAAGTGACTGATTTCAGGGAAACTGGGTCACCCCGAGTTTTTTTAGCTGATCACTGCTACTATTCTGAAATAAAGCCAGTGACATGGGTGTCTGCACCAATCACTCAATAGAAAACTCATTTGGCAGGAAGAACATGCAATGCCCATTTTATGTCTATTTCCACTTCCACTCACCCTGCTGGTTGACTCTCAAACTCTTCAGACCATTGATCCTGGATATCTTCAGTAGAGAGGTCGACATCTCTGGTTGTGGCAAAATTGTATTCACTGCCCTCTGTACCATGAAAATAAATAGCGTTGCCATCTGATTGACAGCTATGCTATGGAAACATAAACAACACATTTAAATAAATAACATAAATAACACATGCTAAATATTTAGTATCCGATGATTCATTCTATGCAAGTAAGTTATTTTAGGCAATTTTTAAACATATCAAAATGGGTTAGCCTGCACAGTATGGGATACAAACACTACTAAGAAGTAGCACAAGTATACAGTAAACAAACACATATATGTGAGGATTACATAAGCAAGAAAATATATAAAATGATACAGTATATGATGTAATTATAATTGTTTCTATATGTGATATAGAGCTTTAAAAGCCACTAAAGGAACTTCTTAGTAAGTAGTTTCTATTTCTTTTTTATTAGCAAGCATCCCTTCCTTTCTGGGAGCAAAGCTCAGGTGTCACAGTGACTACATACACTGATATATTCTCACTGGCAAATCCCCAATGAGTGCAGTGCACACGAACCCTGAGTGCACTCACTGCACACACTGTGATTTTGATACGGGAAGCGTTCCTTGCTGCGATTACATCCTTTGAGCTGCAACTGCACCTTTCAGCTTAGTAGTACTATTTATGAAGCAGTACCGTAATTAAGTGTATAGAGCTGTATGGTGATATAGTGTTCAGGAAGGAGTGCACTGTATGAAGCAGTGTAGTATGACCGTATAGTAGTACAGTATAAAGCAGAGGTGGGCACAAAGAGGGTCAACAGTTGGCCGGTCGATGGAAGTGCTGCCTGACAATGGATAGAGGACTGGAGACGGCAGTGCAGTTTACAGAGCAGTTCAATAGTACAATGCACAGTGGTGACAACTGTAGATGGCACTGTGAGTCAGAGATGGCAGTGCTGGCTCCCGGTGCTGCACAGGGCTGTGCCCTGCTCTTTGTGACTGATGTGGAGCAGCAGCAGATTGGAAGTGAATGGAGGGAGGTGCACATTTGCAGTGCGGTGCAGGCTGTATTTGTGTCCCCGGTCCCTGGGTCTTTCCTTTCTGACTCTATGGGAAGGGGGCCCAACCAATGATCTTGCACACTGGTCCACTGCATTCAAAAATGACCCTGCATATTCTATTATTTTAACACTCAAAACTTTTCAAAATCTCACATGTCAATTAGTCTGGAAAATAATGCCTTACAATAAATATAAGCATGCATGACATGTTTTTCCTACACAGATTTCTGTCATGTACAAGCCAAGAATGAGAGAACCCTAAAATAAGAGAGATTAGTAAGTAAAAGTCTCCAATAATGGCCATATGGACAATGAGAGTATTTTCCTAAAAGAGTACTAATTTCATAAAATGAGGGGACCATGTGTTCACTTTAAACAGCCAATCATATGGAATTTTCTTTCCTCATGAATACAGCTTCTAAGTTTACCAATACCAACGCGTGGGTAAAAGTGTCCCCAAATCTGTTCCCCTAACAACTGAGAGCCACAGCATGTAAGGCACTACATAGTGCTTTTTTATGGCAAATATTTGAGTCTAAACCATTAGCTATTTGAACAATTGAACAATTTTGATGACAATTTTTTTCACATCCTGGTATTTAATATTAGTTACACTTACATGCACTTTCACAACTGTTTTTTCTCTACCATATCTCTGCCAGGGGCCTCTTGATTTTAGGTGTCCGGAGGAAGAATTGTTTTTGTTGCCCAGAGTGCAAAAATATTATTCTCTCTGATGTTAATGCAGCATGGGAGAATGGCAGAAGCTCATTGACATACTTTTTGACAAGGTTCTCTGTGTCTATAATGATCAGTGTAATTTTCTGTCTCCTGAAGAAGTATCAGTGTACCTTACCAAACCCCATAAAAAACACTTGCGGGCAAGCTGCAGCTGTAAACCATTCTAGTGAACATTAAAAAAATAGAATGTATGTGCACCAGCAATGGACATCCTGTGGATTTTGTGCAAAATGTTTCAGGTTTTCTTTGTTTATACAAAGATAAAAACAGGAAATTCATGAAAAAACATAAGCTTGAAAAATGAATAAAAGCACCCTGATGCAGATGCTTACCTCACTATCCATTACTGTATTTTGACTCACTCAGCATTTTCTTAGGCTCTCTCTCTATACACAGGTGTGTGTGTGTGTATGTATATATATATATATATATATGTGTGTGTGTGTGTGTGTATATATATATTTATTTTTTCCTGCATGTGCTTATTTTAACACACTCGCAGTCTAGAAACATAATATATATATATACACATACACACAAATCTAATTTGGGTGAAAGTGGAGTGTCATCAACTTTGACAGATGTCATAGTAGCTTAACAAATAATTGCATAGCAAATCACCCCCACCTTTCTTTTGTCTTTTAGTAAGGATACAATTATATCAAAATAGCTGAGAAATTTTACTGCATTTTATAGATGATAACCTTTTTTTAAGAACACTGTGTTGAACCTAAATTGGGCCATGCTTACATGAATAATTACAGAGTTGAATTACTAAAGGCAAATTGGCTGTTCACTTTGAAAGGGAATTTCCCTTAGCTTGGGGAATGTGGTGAAAATTCACTTTACAAAGAATAAACCATTACATGCAAGGAAAATAAAACAAAGTATTTTTATCTGCACATGATTGCACAGAGCTCCACCTCCTTCACTAAGATAAAGGAAAATTCCTTTGTGTAGGGGTGCGGAGAGGGGGGCTTATTCACATCAGGACACCCCTTTCATAAAGGGGCACCCAGATGTGCCCCCCCGTGAATGAGTAAGGAGGACTTGTACCCATACCTATTCACTAAAGAGTTAAATACATTTGTAAATAAAGAGGCCAGGCTTTTAGAAAAAATCCTTTAATAGAATAAAAAATGCAACAAGGCTTTTGGCAAGTTTTTTATTGTAAAAAAAACCCACAAAAATAGATTCACTGACGTAATCCAGGGTCAATCACGACGTCTAGCGTTGTCCACGATGACGACGATTAGAAGAAATAAATAAAAAAAATAGAAAATCATTTTTTTTTAAAACAATAATGCCCGCTGACCTGTCCGCACGCGTCAAACTCCTGCCGCAGAATGGCATTCTGACAGATGCCGGCAACATATAAACAATTGGGTGGAGGTAGCGGTGACATCGCCACTAGCTCCGCCCAACTGTTTACATTTGTCCGCCACCTGACAGTCTGCCCGCAGGTCCCGGACAAATCAAAACACATGGGCGGAGTAATGACAGCCCAATGTCCTCGAGGATGCTGGGTTGTCATTGAACGACAACAACTGGGTAAAGGCAGCCATGACATTAAAGGCTGGCTCTGACCAGCTGTTGTCTTTTGCAGGGAGAATGGTTGGCTTCGGCCGACCTTCTCCACGCTTCGGCTGTCAGTACGGCTCAGCCAAGCTAAAGCATATGCGTTCAGCTGCTGTACGGCCTATTGCGAATAGCCCATACAAAAGCCCTTTAGTTCGACTGAACCTAAGGGTTCCAGCGGCCGAAGCGAGCAGAAAGATCGGCCTAAGCTACGGCTAGATCCTTTGGTTCTTTAGTGAATAACCCCCTATAGTCTATATGATTGTTATTTATCGTGTAATATTGTTGTCAAAATTATCTTGACTTCCCAAAATAGTTTGTTTCTAAAATGACATTGTGCATTACTAACTTTTGTTTGAGATAAAACAAATGGAAATGGGAAGAACAAATTTCATGTTTTTCATAAAAACAAATGTCAAATACAGATATACACCACATTGTTATATACTATTTGTAAAGTTTCTATAGCATTCTAATATATTAGTACATTGTTTAGAAATGTCCCTGTAAAAGTAGCCAGGAATAACATTAATATTTCAGTCTAATTTTTTTTAATAACAGTATTGTTGTAGGTAGCGGGAATTGTCAATAGGCAACGTGTACATTTAGTGAGAAAGAAAGCATACTGAAGTGGGACTAGCTAAATATAAAAAGCAACTGAACTCACACTTTCATGTTTATCCTAATTTTCACTGTTTGAACATTGCCTAACAGATTACGGGCTTGTTCACACTATTTTATTTTCCAGACCAGATCTGGAACGCGGTGCATTGCGCTTTGCTGCGTTTTTAAAGCGATTTTACCGAGATTTTGCTGCATTCCAGATCAGTGTTTTTGTTGTTGTTTTTTTTAGCTTAAAATTGGCTTTCAGGTGCAGTGCGGCCCAGTGTGTTTGCATATGTTTGTATGTGTTTTTGATGCATTTATATATGTCCCAGTGCGTTCCAGACCAGAGAAAATGAGACAAGCTGAATTTTTTTGGTCTGGACCAGAACTGACTGCGCTGGTGTGACCAGAACCAGAAATACCATAGGGATACAATGGGATACTTTTTTGGTCCAGTAACAAACTGTTCTGGTCTGGACATGATCCGGACATGGTGTGAACAAGCCCTAATACAGAGCTAGGACACAAACGCTGTGATAGTTCTCCTGCCATATCAAATATAAGAGATAATAAAAAAATGTACCATTTTCTATCTCAATTAAATTGATGCATTTAGAGGTTGATATTAAAGTCAGTATTACTACATGCCATGCATTTTCCAAAAGTGTGACTTATTGGCATGTCCACTTTTAGACATTTTTATGCCTGTAAAATTACAGATTCACTTAAAGGTGTCAATGAGGCGGAAAGCAATGCCCCTCCCTGTAATCTCTAACAAAATGGCCTAACATAGCACTACTCATTGTAAGGACATGGTTATTTTTAAAATGAAATGTGTTCAGCCAGAAATCACTGATCCTCATTGTTGGCACATTTTCAAGAGCCTGGGTATTCTGCTAAAAGCAGATAACTTGAATTGTGTACGGATGATTATAATCCATACATAATTCCTCACCAGTGTATTTCCTATGCCAGCCAATTTTTGTCTGTATGCCATCGAAGTATTGTGAAAAAAATCTCAATGCTTAACTAAAAGCTTTCTGATGGGGACTCAGTGTAAGCTTTTATTTCAATCCCATGCTTTAAAGATAGTCTATTCTATGCCAGGCACTCGCTAATGCCTTCTACTCTCATTCTGCAGTTTATC